GTTTACAGTCGATCCCCCTATAAGATCATTGATTTTTCCGTTTTATCTGAATTACATGTTGTACGAGTCACTTAGATTTTACAAATACGTGTGCCGGGCTGTGAACGGCTCACATATTTGTAAAATCTAAGTGACTCGTACAACATGTAATTCAGATAAAACGGAAAAATCAATGATCTTATAGGGGGATAGACTGTAATAATATATTTTTCAGGATGACTGTAAATAACTAAAATTAATTTTTTATCATTGATATTTGATATATAAATTGACATATTTTTGGATGGTCATGTTGAAAAAAATTAGACTGAGAATGGGTTAAGTCCATCTGTACTCAAGACATGACACATGATCCCCTCTGTATCTCCTCTCCCTCTAGACATTTACCTGCCAAAATTTAATAGAATTAAATAGAATTAATTCCCCCTAATTTAGTGTTTTTTTTTTTCATTATTATAAGGTGTGATCTAGCTTTATATCATAAACTAATATAATATAAAATATACTATACACTTGAAAGCCATATAAATTGCACACGTAATTGTCAATTGTTATTTTCAGTGTTGATGCAACAAAAGAATCTGGAAGATTAGGAAGGTTGGTAAATCACAGCAAGAAAGGAAACTTGAAAACAGAATCATTTGCTGTAGAAAATAAACCTCACTTAATTCTTGTGGCTCGTCAAGATATTCAACCTGGTGAAGAATTGTTATATGATTATGGAGATAGAAGTAAAAAGTCTTTAGAATTTCATCCATGGCTTGCAACGTAACTTTTATATTTATTTATAATAATGTACAATATTTCTGTAATATAATTTTTTCATTCTTTTTTTTTGTAAGTACATTAAAGATTTTAATGTAGCTATAATTATTCAAATAACAAAGAAACAAACTATAATTTTTGAAACAGTTTAAAGTATTGATTTATCTATATTCTGTATTAGAGATAGGTATAAAAGTTTAATATTATTTTCTGATAGTTTATCTTAAAAATCATATGAGCCTTTGTTGGAATATTGTATATAAAATATATATATATTTATCGTAAACATATGTTGTATATTAACATCACATTTTCATCAATATAATTCAATATGACTGAGCAGTATTTTATAAATTGAGAAGTATGCTTGTGAAAATTTAGAGATAGAAATGAAAAAAGTATAAAAACAAGTATCAATACAATGCCTTTACAACTTATTAAAAAAATGGCCTTGTCTTCCTCTTGAATGAAAGTGCTTTGTATGAAATTATGACCAAATTGCAATAGGCAGAGTAGTAATGGATATTAGTTTGAAATTTGTATTCATTAAAATGTATTTATTAGTTTTGAAATTTACAATAAATTCATTATAAAAGTTTGGTATAAAACAAAATCTTGTAAATTGTTTCTCTAATTAAAAATTTCAAGTGATAAATGAACTTTTCTTACAATTTATAGAAATAAAAATAATTTTATCTTTCTGAATTTTAATTAATGAATTATAATGCAAAAAAAAACTTCTAATTAAAGCAATGTAAGATTTCATATTTTTTCAAAGTTTATCATCATCAGCAGTGTGATAATTGTCTCCTGTTTTCACATTTTCTAAAGGATAGGACTCATTCCAAATGAGTTATTTTACAGTGTAATGCATTTAATGCATCACACTGTAAAATATCTGTCATTTGGAATGAGCCCTCTCTTCTAGAATATGTTTGTTATTATGTGAAATTTGAAGTTCATTTGCATGTATTTAACAGAATATTTTAATTTAGAATATAATAGATTAAATACAGTGGAACCTTGGTATACGACCTTAATCCGTTCCTGGTGTTTGGACTTATACCGAATAGGACGTATATCAAACCAACCTTTTCCATAAGAAGTAATGTAAAAATGATTAATCCGTTTTCATGTAAAAAAAATGGCTGGCTTTAAACACCTCGTTTTCCTCGCTAGTTTCTGCTTGATTTTTCATGAGATCAGCATGTATCCTTTTAACTTTCTCGCAAATAATTTCTTCCGATACGCTGTCGCCGGCACACTGTTTTTCAGTTATCCAAAGCAAAAGCAATTTCTCGACA